GGACCACCATTGGGATGTTTGTTGAAACTATCCAGTTAGTTGCAGAGGCACGACGGGTAAACGCTTGTCACAACGCTTACTGACTTATAAGAACCCAAGGTATGGACGGAGTTATTTATTGTGTTAAACGGCATGTCTCGATGCATTGGTTCGGACCAACGAACCTTCCCTTGACTTATGCAATCCCTGTTGCATGGCGCGCGTTGCTTCCGCAGCTAGTGGTGATGCGGCTTACGATGGTTATGTGTCCATAACTTGTGTTCCGTTCCTTTCGGGGAGTTATTATGGCTTGTTGCCGGCTCATTGCCATTTACTTCCTGGCACTTCTATGCTACTTATAACTGATGCAGTAGTATCTGCCTTTAGACTCCCGCACTCCTCGCGCTCCAAAGTGCTCGCCTCCGTTGCCTTCGCTGGGAGTTCTTCTGACCGTCTGGGATGCTGACTGTCAAAAACAGGTTCTTTTTCTAACTCGTGCTACTTCCTCAATTCATTAGTTGGAAACTCTATCCCTCTACCTAACCTACCGAAGCACGACGAGCAATACTTGTCACAACGGTTAATGACTGTCTGGTGGATCATTAAAAAGCACTCGTCGTGTGGCTAAAGGGATAGAGGTTTCAACTTACATACCAATAGCATCGGAATCGATGCCTGTCATCTCCACGTGATCAGATCGAAAGAGCTCGAAACAGGTCGTGGAGTGCAGGTCTGCGGACGGGCAACACACGATTTCCATACGATTAGGCTACGGTCCTACTGGTCGAATTGAGCAAGGTTTACTACAATGTGAATCGAGGTCCATATTGAAACTGCGTGTCGCAATCCAAAATGATCCTTCAATCAGTCACTGACCGTTTTGCCAAACGTTGACGATGATGGTGATGTTGTTTGAATAGTCTTGCTGCCATTTCGGATCTATTCTTCATATAAGGTTTTCCCTTTACCTCATCGTAGCACACAAACCAACTGCCACATTGAGGAAAACTCTGTCGAAACCGAAAGAGAAACTGGAAGCTCATGAGCAAGGTAATGTGTTGTATATAGACAAAGTCGCAGAAATTGCGAAAATGACTATGTTGGCCAAACAGACAGATAATTAACTACACGATTACAAGAGCACAAAAGAGCATGCAACAGACACTGTGCATCATCGCTAGTCTTAGCACACGTGGAGGAAACAGAACATAGCTTTGATTGGTCCAAAACAAAAGTCCTGGCACGAAGTGAAACAAGAAGAGAAATGGAGTTCTGGAAGCGTGGCTCTCAACAAAAGACCCGACCAATAAGCATATCGAGATTGACCCAGTTTACCAAACCCAAGCACGTCGACAACTCAATCAGCGAGATTACACTCCACATCTCGACGTACTGATGATGCCGCCTCGCATAGGGGTGAAACGTTTGCGAACTAATTTCCCAGCTCGGCGAACAAATGAGCAACTGATTCATCCGAAGGGTTCAGCTACAATCGAAGTAGTCAACTCAAGTGACGGAACCACACATCAGCTGGAGTTTGTGGAGGAGAAGCTCACACCGATTTTCAGCAATGATTCGATTCAGTCCTTCGGTTTTATTGTTTCTAACCATGATCGTTTCGTGTATGCTTGCCAGGGAGAAGTCGATATTAGTGACCAGTATCCGTCTGTGTATAGCCCGGGTTTGGGATAATTTGAGGAAATTGCTCACTTGCCGTTAGATTCTTTGATACGGCCGACTGCGCTACTGAGTAGGAGAGTTCTATTGGCGCTGCGTGACAGTTTCTGCACTGAGTTGAGCAAACTAGTTAGGGAGGGTGTGATCACCAAAGTTGATGAGGCAATCGGCTGCGTTGGCTAGGTCGCAATCATTACGAAGATGTGCGAATTGCGCATGTGTATTGACCCGGGACCGTTGAATGAGACCCTGCGCAGAGAGCATTTATGTGCTATTGACCTTAAAAGACATTTTGCCTCGTTTGGCCAAAGCTAAGTATTTCACGAAGGTACAGCTGATTTCCGCATTTTGGCAAGTAGTTTTAGATGAAGAATCTAGTTCCGTTACTGCCATTGCCACACCGTTCGGGCGTTATCGTTGGATGCGTTTACTGTTTGATTTGAAGGTTTCGAATGAAATTTTTCAAAAACAATTGGTGCACGCGGTAGACGATTTAGATAGTGTAATTTGTGTGGCAGACGAAGTTTTGATCTACAGCTCCACAGAAGAAGAGTAGGACGCATAGCATGTGTTGGTTGTTGCTTAATATCGCTGGTCCAGCTCCGCTTAATGTGAATATCGATAAGGTACCTACCTGTCTTTTACTCCTCACATCGATTATTGGTTCCAGATTGTAAATCTTTACAAGAGGGGGGTCGGTCCTTGTTGCCGTGCTAGACTCGAAGAGTGGTTCCATACACTCAGTGTGGAGCGGACTACGGGCCAGCCACCGACTTGTGTGCGCTAGATTCCCCAAATACAGGGTGCTTATTTACCTGTGAAATAGCGTGGGGCGGCTCCATTGATGAAACGTGGCTCCCATTCACATGCCCCCCGGTCTTATTCCTTTGAGTTTACACTGGATATGGTGTGTGTAGTTGGAGCTGTAGGTGGTGCAGTGCAAGCCATCCATGGTCCCTCTGTAGGCGCAGGCGTCCTGTGGCTGACCACAGTAAAAGGCAAAGCCGAAACCGGATGCCGACAACCATGTATATATGTGTGCCCCATGCTGAGGCTGATGTTGCATTCATAATGCTTCTTCAACGCAGTTGAGCTAAACCAACTTCCACTTAAACTAGGTCCTTTTAATGTGGATAAAATTCACTCCACTTTATTTGGTTTGTACTGCGTACTTGATAATCTTCTCCTAACTTGCACACGCCGCCCATGCCAATTGTGGTAAACTTCCGTAACTTTATTACGTGGTATTTTGTTATATAACTTTCGAACGTTTGGTACTTAGCGTGGATTTGCTTATAACCGATTCCCTCCATATGCTCATTCTGCGAGTATTTATGTCATCATATACGTTTACTTAATTTGATATAGGCATTTCGAATGATTGGCTGTTGTTGGACATCCCAGGTGTGGCTGTGCTTGATGTGCATGTTGACAAGGTGCCTACCTGTCTATTACCTAATACCTCGTCCATACTGGCTCTAGGAGATAGTTGGTCGTTACTGGAGGGGACAGGGTGCACGGCCCTTGTGGTCGTGCTAGGCTCGAAGAGTGATTCTATGCACTCAGTGTGGAGCGGACTACGGTCCAGCCACTGACTTGTGTGCGCTTGATTCTCCAAATACAGCGTGCTTGTGTTTGCCTGTGAAGGAGTGTGGGCCGGCTCCGTTGATGTAACGTGGTTCCCATCCACATTCCTCCCGGTCTTATTCCTTCGGGTTTACTCTCGAGATGGGGTATGTGGATGGAGCTGTGGGTAGTGCAGTGCAAGCCATCCATAGTCCCTCGGTATGCACATGCTTCCTGTGGCTGTTTTACGAGGCCGCAGTGACAGGCAAATCCGGAATCGGATGCCGCCAACCATCTATGCCAACAAACGGAAGTAATATAGCTCAAACCTGGCAATCTGGAAACTCGTTGGAAAGCTTAATGGTCAGTCTGAACTATCTATTAGGTTTAGATCGGAAGGCTAGAGTACGAACTGGAAAGGTGTTGAGGCATATTACTGCGTAAATTTGACTGGTAAACCTCTAAAACGTAGATTAAAAGAAAGCAGAATACTGATGGCCTGGAGTTGGAAACTTTCAAAACTCATGACACGGCTGCTAGTATTAGTGGCATAAGGTTAGTCGCGTGGACAAGATTGCAAGTCCATGACGAGAACAATCAAGTAACGGGAAACGAACAACAAGTCGAAGGGAAATGAGCTCAGGTAAAATAAAAGAAAGACGACAGTGTGGATGGATAGCTGTTGCGTTTGGAAGTAGTGTTACTAGTAAACGGCGGTGGTACGCGGATATGTGTAGGAAGAAGAGAGATTGCAGTCCAGCAAGCTGGAGAATTGTGACGCGAATTAGGATAGGTGAGAATTGCCAACTGGACATAGGGAATCAACTGGGCGCCAAAACTACGTGCGCTCATACCTGGTAGCTGTGGGACAGTTTCAAACGAGTGAAGTGAGGTAAAAAAACGAGTTGGTCGAATGCGCCCTAAACGCTATCAGTGCGAACTAGGAAGCACAGGTTTCCATACAGTAATTTCGATATCATCTAACAGCAATGGACCAGCATGGCTTGAAAACGAAAGTGCCAAACTCAGGGCTCGAGCTGCATCACGGTTAATATCTAGTGGTATCTCTAAGGACCAAAGCAGACTGAAGATCATCATCATCAATATATGTTAGCCGAGGGTGCGAAACACCTCAACTAATGTGCCGCAATACAAAAAGGGCAAGAGATTAAACATTACAGATTACGAAAGCTAAAAAGTAACATAACGCTAAAGTCACATTATGCATTGTATTAAGATCGTTGTTGGAGGGGGAATCTGAAGAGGACGAAGGGGCAACGAGGATCATAACACAAACACTATTGAGGTCGACTCCACGCTGTCAGCTAGAGTATCCAATCAAATGTGTGTATCGTCTTTCGGACCCCAGTCCGGCAGTCGCGAAACACCAACCGACGTCAAGTTTGAAGTGAGGGCATTCACTCCTCAAAACCAAGTCATCGCTTGGCCTCCCCTTCTCTTCATGCATCCAGACCATGGGCGCGCAAACAATACACGTGACCGGAGTCGGTTTGCTGGCATGCGCGGACTGACGATTACACTGGGTTATAGTGGTAACAAACACGTTGATTGATGCGTTGAATCTGCATCATACATTGAGTGCACCGGGCAATTGGCTTCACAATCGAATGGGCACAAGTGCAGTGGACCAGACACATCGGACTAGTGCAGACTACAGATGAACGTAGGTGGAAAGTTGTGGTCGAATTCACCGCAAAATAGAGAATATAACGTGCCAGAAAACAACGGCAAATTTAACATGGATTTAACCCCTGTACCTGGTTGTGCTGAGAATAATGATCCAAAAGTTGACTGGGGAGGATTATATAGTGACCCGAGACCAAGCCCAGGCTGAGCTCCAAACAAAGACGGTTGCTGTGAGGTGGTTGTAGCGGAGAATAGAGAAGGAAACGCTGTAGTTGTTTTCGGGACACCAGCCCCAAATGATTGGAAAGGACTGACACCGGAACTCAAACTTCCAAAGGGGTTGGTCAGGGCAGTAGTCTTCTGTGCAGTGGTTTGGAACAAACTAGAAGCCTGTGTAGTCTGACCTGTGCCAAAACCGAAGCCCCCGAAAAGAGTGGGGTTAGTGGTAGTAGAAGCTGTCGTGCCAGTCGTTGTAGTCCCAAAACCCGTAGCAAAAGGGCTTGGTTGTGCGGTGCCAAATATCTTCTGAGTACCAAACAGGCTCATTGGCTAAAACAATGGATGGGGATTGGTGGTGAGAGTTAATCGGTGGATATGTAGGTAGTAAGTGAAAGAAGAAATGCGGTTCATAATCACAACAAGAATAGAAGTTGAAGACAGTGAATGATAAAATAGAAAAAACGGTTGCGGATGGAAAAGAGAATGAAACCAGAATGTTGACCTCATTGGAGGCGTTGGTGGCAAAGTATAAATATATATTCGAAGGTCTACAGAAGCTGTCAAAAATCATTAAAAAGACAAGGGAAGATACAGCTGTCGTTAAACCGAACACAACACAGAGCAAGCTATGGTTTCGTCAGGGAGCTATACAACTGGGTTTTCAGGCAGAATTAGGAAGTTGTCTTAGGGGACATCACCCCGAGCCTTGGCTAAAGCACCTACTCGCAAGACAACAGAGCGAAGTGAGGGAACGATCGTCCAGCTCATACGACCTTCGTTCAGTCAGTTAGTAAACAGAGACCCAATCCACGCCACGAATTCAGCAGCAGGCTGTTGGAATGCAATGCTACACCAGTGGGAATTAAAGGGGCAGTGGATTCATTTGGTGGCAAGTAACATCCAGCACGTGGGTGCCATTAAACAGGCAAATGTGGCTTGCCAGGCGAAAACCCATCAAGTCCTGAAACACTGCCGCCAAAACAAAAGCTGGAACGGGGCAACTCCCAAGCACCCAAATGGCACTACGGACAGACGATGGCATGAAGGAATACACATCGTCGTTGTAATCCGGTCACCGGTTCAAATTCGTGTATGTGTAGGCGCTCTCGCGTTAAATCCTATCCTCGAGCAACTGGTGGCGGTTGCGTGTCAATTAAGGATCGGTGCAGTGTCGGTGAGCTGGTCCGGCAAGTTGTGAAAACTATCATTGTAAGACCACTTGGTGAAAAAGCGGTTGCTGTTGCTAAGAGAGTTGGCCAGCATCAACATCAACAACTGTAACACAGTACGTCAGTATCGTTAATCAAACCATACTTTTAGCCGAATGACCAGCTCACGCTAACAGACACGCTGCATTCATTCGGTTAACGTCTATTACCGTTAGCGAGTGTCGAAGGAATGTTGTGTTTCTGCTAACAGTAGGGAGAATCGATGCAGCCACTTCCCAAATCAGAAGACAAAGGCATGTGGCTTAACTTGTATGGAGCATCCGGAAGATAGGATGTACAGTCAAAACATGGGGTCAAAATAAATAGTTCATGAGAGAAAAGATCTAATTGAAAATTCCTGACTATAGCAGCTACTAGATGCACCAAAACTCGCTTGTTGGCTGTTCAAGTAGTGCGCTTACTGGAGAGCTTCGAGATAAAATGATGCCATGGGCTTACTCTTATTGGTTAGCCAATCAGCTACAGGCGGTATACGACCAATATGCTGTGGCTTGCTTCAGAGAGAGCTGGCTTCATAGGCTGCTACGGACGGTCTCCTGTGACACCACCCTCGCGAAAAGTGACGTACGAGTTTCTCCTGGGATACAGCTGCATTATGCTCACAGATCTGCGTTTCCGATCAGTCCATCGTTGTGGCTGCGAGCTCATTTTTTTGCGGTTACCGGGCAAGGCTCATTAAATCGTTCCTGAGTTCCGGATTATGTTAAAATTGTTCAGCAGAATATCCAGCAGCGATCGTTCACTGGTGCTTAGTTGAATGCTGGTCGGCCGCAGCTGGTTTGCGTGTCTGATCCAAATCATGGCACCCATTAGGACTTTATACAGCACGTGTCCAAGTCTGCAAACGACCGAGCCTGTGGTCCACTGAGGTCATCCAGGGCGCTAATCTCTGACTAAAACGCTGTCCTGGGTGAAATAGACGTGCTTGCGTCTTGTGCCGCTGATGGAAGTAATTTTCCATTCTCGCCTTCTTCTCTTGTGAGGCGATACGCTTCGAAAGCAGCCAAGAATTCAGATTACGAAGTTTTCTACCCATCAGGGCTTTTGCAGGAAACAGCTGATTTGGGCAACTGGAGGTTCGGAGTTGATCTGAACAGTAGAAGAAAAACATCCAATATCTCTTGGGTAGTTCCTTACCCCCTAATCTTCAGCAGCGTCCGTTTAAAGGTATCAACAAATCGCTCAGCTTGCCCATTGGACTGCGAGTGGGACGGCGGCGAGCGTAAGTGTGTGATACCGTTCTGTGTATAGTATTCGGCGAACTACAAAGATGCGAAATGAGGGCCATTGTCAGTAACCAGAGTCTCTGGTACTCCATGCTGGGCGAAAAGTCTTCTCAGTACACCAATTGTTGCGCCACTTGTGCGTTCCATGCAGAACACTTTCGGCCACTTGCATTCACGGGACCAAAGAAATCCGAGTGTACTCGCTTCGATAGTTAAGTTGAAAATGGTCAAAAAGACAATTCCGCTTTCCTGTGCACGTTGCAAGCGTACATTTCGGACACGATTTCGTTAGCTGTTCCAGCTCAGAGTCGATATTCGAACAGTAAACGTAATGCCAGGGTGTCCACGATGAAAGTGCCGTAGAATTCTTTGGCGAAATTCACTGGGAAAAACAACTTTCCGCCAAAAGTAAACTTTCATTGACGATGGATAATTCGCTTTACTCCGGGACGAGATTCCTTTAAGCACGTGCCTCTCAAAGGTCTTCAGAGCAACTGACCTGTAAGTGATCGGTTGATATCTGCACGTTCCTTTCTTTGGCACTGGCTTGGTGCTTGCGCTCCGCCAACTGTCAGCTATCTTGTGCTGCTTGAAGCCCAGGTAATCTGCACACTCCTTGAGAACGATAAGGGAAAATTATCCGGATCAGGTGCTTTGTTCACTTGCAATCCGATTAATTACCAGTGTACTAGAATTTTTACAGAAGGAGCGTTATCTGAGGCTAGCTGTAACAGCAGCGGATATAGTAAAGAATGATGTACTATTCTTGTCACAAAATTGCCGTTTAGTTATCCCACATCCAGATTTGAATGCGTCGCCTCGCGAGTTACTTTGCTTTACTGTTTCAGCATTTCCCATATTCACAATAATTGTTATTTACAAGTATGGCTTGAACGTAGCTATGGTTGAAGCGACGCAATTCGATTTTTACATCAATCGATAGAGACTTTACTGATATAATGTCTTTACGTTAAAGCCTTTCATTTCAGCCTACGCAGTCTTTTGAGACGAGAATCTATCGGCCCGAAGAAAAATTGTTTCAAGCGGATAACAGGTGTCGAAGAAGAAGTTTAAGTAACTAGTTAACTGGCCATAATAGTTCGTTACGTATGATCCGCTGAATGTCCTGCGGAAGGCATTGCCTCCCCCCGAACTTTCGATCTTTGCAACGGGTGAGATCTGTATGATTCATCTTGCCATAGATAACGGGAGACAACTTTACGATGGCATGATCTGGGTTCCCAAGCGGCGCCCAGTTACAAACATAAGACACTTTCAGATTGTTAACAAGTACCATTTCAAGTGTTGCATCTAAACTGGTTGGAGATTGCACTATGCTCTTTAGTCCGAGGCTCAAAATGAAGTAGTGTCAGATCTATTAAAATCGCCGGCAACTATGCACAAGGAGAGTTTTAAGGATTCGAGGACCGCAGCTGTAAATCCGTCGTAAAATTCTTCAACTTCGTAGCTTCGATAGCTGGCAGAGATATAAATATCAACCAATAGAATCGAACCCGTCGCAACGCGACCGGACCCTAAGGAGGTGCGACGGTTTGAGTACCTCTTTGACCCGTTGAGCTATAACGGGTGGTGCCTCCGGGCACTTTGAGAGCTACTCCTACCAGGTAGGTCAACGGTGAGAGGTCAGACAAACTCAGTCTCCTGGTCCTCCAGGTTGGGAGTTTGAAATGGGATGGCGCCCATTTCTGTGACACTAAATCACTGCCACTTCCCCGCTGCCTGGCGGAAAGGCTTTTGAGCCAAAGACTTTGAATGAGGACCCTAATCGTTCTCCTGTCGAGGTCCGGGGGCCCTGGCAGCAACTCAGCTAACATAAAACCATGACTTTTTCTTCAAACATAAACTGCATCCTGCATCGACCGTCGCGCAGATTATAAAGGGTCGCCTAATATGCTGCATACAGCAGGGAGGATAAGCGAAACAATGTTAGTACAAGGATCTCACTCCTTTCTTTTCCACCTGTTTCTCTTACCCCCGTTCCGACCCCATTACTAACCCTTCCTTCTATAATTCCCAGCTTAATTGATAGCAACCGAAGTGAAACTGGGGTCACAGTATCTGCAGCCACTATCCCACAACACCCACCGGACGCCCATCGGCAACAGTGCCTTATAGGACCACGCTGTCCCGTTTCCTTGGCGGCGTTCAATATGCGCAAGCTAAGACAAATAGGTCAACAGGCTGCACTCGCATGTACGTTGGACACCCTGGGTATTGATGTGTGTTGTGTGTCCGAAACTAGGATCAATGACCCTAACGGGGTTATTGAATTAACTGCACCCAACTTACCATCCCCCTCTCTGTTGCACGCATCCGGAGACCTAGATGCAGCACTCACGGGTCAAGCTAGCGTAGACATCGCACTCAGCTCCAAGACTGAGCCATCGTTGATTGATTGGAATCCGCTGAACAGCCATTTGTGTGCAGCAAGTTTGACGAGGTCAACTAAGGTTGATTCACGAAGTAGTACAAAACGTTTTTTGTTTGTGATTTCCGCTTATGCTCCCACGGACTGCAGTTCTAAGGCTGTCAAGGATACATTCTGTCGCGAACTGAACGCGCTACTACGCAGTGCTACTAGTTCACATAGTATAGTACGTGCAGGGGAAATGAGCGCAGAAGTAGGGCATCTGAGCTCCTCAGAAGCTCAGCTGGGTGGTAATTATAGGCTCAGCTCCGAACGGACTGACAATGGAGAGCGTCTGCTGCAACTGTGTGCGAAGCACCAGCTGTTTCGCAGCAGCACCACATTAGACACAGTGAGCGCCGAAGTGCCACTTGGCGTCCTCCTGTAGCTGGCCGGCGATCATCATCATCAACAGCAGTACATCAGCCATGTGAACTGATGCTTCGCT